AATGATTTCCCTCATTTGTAGAGTATAACAATGAAGCAAAACTGGAGGAACAAAATGGCAGCAGACTCACAGACTCCAAGAATGAACTAGTGCTTACCAAAGGGGAGGGGTGTGGGAGGCAGGTGGGGAGGGAGGGAGGAGGGGACTGAGGGGTATTATGTTTAGTGCACATGGTGTGGGGGATCACGGGGAGAGCAGTGTAGCACAGAGAAGGCACATAGTGGATCTGTGGCATCTTGCTGCACTGATGGACAGTGACTGCATTGGGGTGTGGGTGGGGACTTGATAATATGAGTAAATGTAGTAACCATAGTGTTTTTTCATGTGAAACCTTCATAAGAGTGTATATCAATCATACTTTAATAACAAATTTTAAAAAAGCACATAGCATGGCACTTAGGAGCCACTAAATCTAAGAGCTTTTGTGATCAAAAAGAAGGTAGAAGAGATGGGGGCTGGTGGATACCTTACTAGCATCCTCCACTTTCATCTTTGAGAGAAATCCACCCCACTGGCCTAGGGGAAGCCCGCCAAGATCAGAACGCACCCAGGCCCTCCCCGGTGGATTCACACAGGATCTAGAGCCATAAATAGGCCTGCTGAACAAGCTGCCTCAGCCTTGTTCTGCCCTACACCCTTATCTTTAGCTACCATCTGCTTTGTGCTTAAGAACTGTGATGCAAGTTATAAAAGCCATATTAACTTAGATATTTCATTAACGATTTGAAGGACTGACCAATTGCATAGGGGAGAAAATCTCATTTGCAAAATAGTCCAAATAAAGTCTGGGGAGCTGTAAAACTCCTTTGATCCATTATAAATGCATGGAGCAGCAGAGTAAGTCCTGAAATATATTTTGAGTTTTTCCTAAATGGACTAAGCAACTTTTTTGTGTATATATTATTCATTTGAATGACTCCTCCTGGATTTTTAAGAATCCACCTCCCACATTAGAAACAAATTGAAAGCCCTTACATACCCCTATACAGCCTCTCAACCAAGCTCATGGGACAAAGGGAGGAGCTGTCCCCCTGGATTCCCAGCCCCTGTAGACCACCTCCTGACTCCCCCAGAGGCCTAGCCACCCAGGGCTCCATCACTATTTTGATGACATAAGGCAAGTCTGTCCTCTCTAAGCCTTGGTTTCCTCTTCTGTAAAGTGAGGACCATCATACCTGTGGCGAAACAACGTATTTGGAATAGTGCCTGGCACATGCTGTTTAATAAATGGTCATTTGTTCGAACCACTGCCTCTTCTGTGGGACTAGCCAAGTGGTATTCCTTAAGTACTTTTCAAATAAATGCCCAGACCAAAAATCCCCACAAGGTGCGGGACCATGTCTGTCTCTTTCACCGCTGGACCCTAGGTGGACTCAATCTCCACTCACGCAACCACATTCAATACCCACTCTGCAAAGGCTGCCCACTGGCACCCTCTGGGGAGCATTTAATACACAGATGCCAAGGCCTTACCCCCCAGAGATTCCAATGGGATTTGAGACAGAGTCTGGATATAGACATTGAATCCTTAAGCACACCAGGTCACAGTGACATGCAGCCCATCGAGAAGTCCAGATCTCAACCCACAAGGGACCCCCATGTGGTTGTGTCGCCATGTGTGTAGGGAGGATGCTGGGGACTCTAAGTCTCTAGCGCCTGAAATGCACTGTAATTTCACCTCTAGTATTATCCTCGGTAAGTCAGATATCTTGGCCCAACCTGTTTTCTTATGTGTGCAGTGATCAGTTTATACGGGATGTCCTAGGTCAAAACCCAGAGAACGAGTCATCCTTGGGGTTTCTTTGGTTGGAGTGTCTCCCCTCCCCGCCCCCACCCCCACCCCCAGCCAAATTCATACGTGGCTAACCTCCAGTACTTCAGAATATGACTATTTGGAGATCGGGCTTTAAAGAGGTAATTAAAATAAGGTTATCAGGATGGGCCCTAATCCGGTCTGCCTGGCGTCTCTGTAAGAGGAGATTAGGACACAGAGGACCACGGGAGAGGCTTCAGAAGAAACCAGCCCTGCAGACCCACGGGTCTCAAGACTTCTCACCTCCAGAACTGTGAAACAAATTTCAGTCAGTTAAGACACCCAGTCTATGCTACTTGGTTATGGCAGCCCCAGCAAACTCATACAGGTTTGTGCCTGACCTTTACAGGCCACTCCCCTCAGGGCACAGCCCGCCCCAGCAGCCCTACCCCATCTCTCCTCCTCTGGCTAGCCCGTCTAGAGATGCCCCCACACCCCCTAATGTGGGTGTCTGGAGCTCCTGACCATGATCTTGGGCCCTAAGCAGCCATCTGCACCCTTAGATTAGCAATTCACTCACTGTGCCATGGCTTTTAGTTGTCAGGCCTCCCAGGAAAGGCAGGTCTTTATCCCACTTCCTCAGGTGAGAGAAGTGAGGGTCTAAGGTCTGGCAGCAGCTCTGACACTCCACGCCAGGCCCAAAGCTAAGCTTTCCCTCCTTCCTGCCTCCTTCCCACCTCCCCACGCCCCGCTTACCAGATGCCCTGTCCATAGGCTATAGTGAAGCAAACAGGGGCCCATACCTTCCCACCCGATCCTTTCTCAAACTATTAAGGCCTTGGAAGAATTTAGCACGAGGTTTATTGATTTATTAAATTCACCTAGCTTTCTGAGCTTCTCTGATGGAGAATTGCTGAATGCACATTAAATAACTCCAGATAATGATCAGCTGCCTGAAGGCACAGGATGTCAGGTGCTTCCACACACATATCCCAAATCAGAATTTTCATTTTAGTAGGATTCCTAAGATCGTTCTCAACCGTGACTGCACAGCTGAATCACCTGAGGAGCAGCCCTGGTGACTGGAAGGAACAGCTACAAGGCCATCTGGGAGTTCCAATCTGGGGGCTCTGGAAGGTTTTGTTGGTTAGGATGAGACACTGGGCCCAGCCCCAGGTGTATCGGCGTCCTACAGTCCAAACCAGGCGGAGGGACTAACTCCAGTTTGCCGTTTCTTATACAGACAGACCCACCGGCTCTCGCACACATTTAGGTCAGAAGCCCCACCCAGACCAACAGGCGTCACCATGAAGGAATGAGCCCTCGCCTGTAACTGCTCACACATTTACTAACTCCCATACTAATAAGAGGCAACTCGGTACAACTAACTAGGGGAGGCAGGAAGTAAGGTGACACTGTTAAATTCAAAAGGTCATCCTCTTTGACCTAGCAATCCTCCTCTAGGAACCTACTCCACAAACACACGACTGTACAGATATAAACGTAGTCACAACAGGCTTTGTTTAAAGAGTGAAATCCAAATGTTCCCTGATATTTTTAAACATCCACATAGGAAATATGACAGTCATTCGAGAATGAAAAACACTTAGTGATATAGAAAAGCATCCAAAATACTCTGTTCAGGAAAAAAAAAAAAAAAGTTGCACAATACTATGAATAATAAGGATATTTTAATAAAAATGGTAAACACCAATATACACATGGAGAAAATGCAATTATTTTGAACAGGGAGATGGGAGTATTATGAAACTTCCTTTTTATACTTTCTATTTTTCTAGAGATTACCAAAGAAGCTGGAATGCTCTTGAAAGCACATGAAAATAAAGCAATGTAAATCAATAATACTGCAGTAACTGTTGTGGAAAGCAATATGGAGGTTCCTCAAAAAACTAAAAATAGAAACTCCATTTGACGCAGTAATTCCACTACTAGGAATTTACCCAAAGAAAACAAAATCCCTGATTTAAAGAGATTCTATGCACCTGTTTGTTGCAGCACTATTTGCAATAGCCGAGATACAGAAGCAACCTAAGTGTCCATCAGTAGGTGAATGGATAAAGAAGATATGGTACATATACATACACAATGGAATATTATTCAGCCATAAAAAATCAATCCATTTCCAACAACATGGATGTATATAGATAGATGGTATTATGCTCAGTGAAATAAGCCAGGTGGAGAAAGACAAGTACCATATGATTTCACTTATTTGTGGAGTATAAAAACAAGGCAAAACAGAAGGAACAAAACAGCAGTAGACTCAAGACACCAAGAAGGGACTAGTAGTTACCAAGGGGAAGGGGTTGGCCGGGCAGGGGTAGGGGGTGGTTGACAGGGATAAAGGGGAATAATTCGCAATCACAATATAAGTTGGTGACAGGGACAGTAGTACAGCATGGAGAATATAATTGATTCTGTGACATCTTACTACATTAAGAAACAGTAACCACACTAGAGGGGGTGAGGACTTAACAATATGCATAACTGTTGAACCACTGTGTTTTATATTTGAAACCAACATAAGATTATATATCAACAATGCTTTAATTTCAAAAAAAATACTGCAGTAATAGCACACTGACAATAAAATACACATAAGCTTTATTTTAAATTTAAAGAAAAACAAAATAAACTTTTTTTTTTTCAAATTATATCAAACACTTAAAACATAATTTGGGAATGTTAAACATTAATTCTCAATTCAAAATGGTAATACATCCTGATGCTGGGACTATGAAGTTACTTAAGTCTAGTATTTTATATAAGCTTAACCATTAACCCTTCCTAAAATTCAATGATTATGGTTCAACTTTACTAGGTTAAGCGAGTCATATGTGTAATAACCCATGTAACTTTTTCAAATGCAAAACATTTATACCAGCAAGGATATTATAGAACACATATAAATTATCCTGAAGGGCTTGAGTGAAAGGCTGACTACATACAGAGGTGCCTTTCACCTGAGAAAGCACATGAGCACAAATAATCAAGTACAGATGCCATTACATTCTCCTAGTTACATTACACAACAAAACACATGTTTTGTTTATAAATGTCATTGTTATGTATGCACTGAAAAAAAAATCTTTTGTTTTAAAAAAGTCCTTGAAGACACAGGGGAGTGAAGTGCGCCCACGTTAAGCACAGACACAGAGGGTTCATAGGACATCAACGAACTGCCATCTCCGGCCAGCTCCCAGGTGCCACTGAAAACAGTCACTGCCCTCAGAAAGACAGGATGGTCTTGTTAATAATTTCCACGGACTCCTGAATCTCATCCTCCTTGATCACAAGAGGAGGGGCAAACCTGATGATGTCACCATGGGTTGGCTTGGCCAGAAGTCCATTATCTCTAAGTCGCAGGCACACCTTCCAAGCATCATAATCTGAAAAAAAAGAAAAGAAAATGTCCAAACGTGTACACTAAAACCTCCCCTGCAGCAGCATGGGCAAGGGCAGCCTGACCAACAGCACTCCCAGCCCCTCCACAGGAGAGGCAGCTTGGAGTTGCAAGCTTGCTTGGCTCTTACTCAAAGATGAAGTTACTTTTCAACAAGTACACAGCTAGGAACGAATGATGTCATCAGACACGAGGTTTTTGTTAGCTTTTCAAAAATGAAAAAGACCAAGCAACGAGGCTGCTGTATTAATTACATGAGGAACCAATGTAAAAAGAATTTGGGTATGGTACAGATAAATTAGCACAGAATGAACTAGTGAACCCTAGACATCCCTAGTGAACCCTAGACATCCCTAAAATGGATTTGCTTCCTGGGCTTGTAGAACTAGGCTCTCATTATTTCACAGCATGATTCTCAACCCCGGCTGCACATCAGAATCACCAAAGGGCCAATGCCTGGGCCCCACCAGAGCCATCCAATCAGAATCTCCTGGCCAAGGCTAGGCTTGGGTTAATTTTTTAAAAAGCTCCCCAGGATGATTCTAAAGTACAGACACCTGAATCATTGCTTTAAAAGGAAGTTATCACAAGAAAATCCAGCAAGGCACCCCTAGGTGTTACAAATGATGTACTAAACACCAAGCAGTCAGTTAAGTGGCCCTGGGGTTATTTTTATCCTCCGCATTGTGGTATTCATCATTCACGTCCCTATTGCTACTGCACCTACTACCCCTCCTGACACGCAGTGTGAAAGTGAGGGAGAAAAGGACAGCGAAGGAGACTCAAGGGCAGTGCTCTGTGCAGACCTACTAAAGCCAGACAGATCTCCAAGTACCGCACACCTAACCCACACAAAATCACAAATGACTTAAAAGAACAAAAATAGGTCAAAAGGTCAAATGAAAGTGTCTTTGTGTAGAAAAGAGCTGTTTTTATGTCCATTAATATAAATTAGATGACACTCTGCTAAAGACTTGGTCAACAGGAGGTCAACAATTTCAAAGGGAGGAACCCAACCACCAGACAAAATACCAAACATATTCTAGCTCTCCCGGTAAAAATGACATCTCCATACCTTTGGTTTCTCTAATTACAATAGCATTTAATAATCCTTTTCCTCTTACAGCAGTTACGATATCAGAAGGTAACTTCATGAGTTCATTTCTCAACACAGTACCCATTTTGTCTGCATTTTCAGCAAGGTTTTCTTCTTCCAAAACCTGTATTTAAAGAGAAATTACACAAATATTAAGACTGCCTTCTTTTATGTTGTTCTTTGGAAAGGAATATGGACTCTAAGCAAAGGACAAACACATCAGATAAAGACTTATGTGTTCAAAGCCTATGCCAATCTAATTCCTAATCAAACAGACTTCATCAGACAGAACCTTGCTTTAGCCACAGATCCATCCATCATCAATCTGATTTCACAGCAAAATAAGGATTAAAATTTGTTTAAGTGATACTTTTGTAGTTTAATAAATCAATAGGCTAAACATACTTTAATTTTTAAACTGCAACAGAATTTCCTTTTACTTTTTTTCCTAAAAAAGTCCACCCTTAGAGATTTTATAATTTTATGTCTTTGATAGGCACTTAAGGAATAAATCTAAAAGCATTCAAATCTACACTTTAAAAGAAAACCATGCGTGCTAAGCCAGAGGTCCGACAGACAAGGCTAGTCAGAGTGAGAGCCCGGCCCTCTGAGGGCCACCCAGGGCCTACGGGCCCAAAGCCCCAGGTGACCACAAACTCAGAAAGCCACGGAGGATTCCTGTCTACTAGTTAAACTGTTCTGAGAATGCCTTGCCCCTAAAATCTTTCCTCCATACTTCATGTTCAAAATACCTGGCAATCTTACTACATTTCTCATTACACCAATGGGCTCAAATTTAAGTCACTTCAACTCTAGCTAAAGGAATGGATACCATGGGGTTGTATCAGTTTTACCTCAAGGGCTGCAATGGCCACTCGGCAGCCTAGCGGATTGCCACCGTAGGTGGACCCATGCTCCCCTGGTTTAATGGTCAGCATTACGTCATCATCACACAGCACTGCAGACACCTGGAAGACAGAGCGCTGGGTGCTAACCAAGTCCTCTCTCAGACTCAGACTAACTATTCCCATACTTAGCACACCAGGAACACAAATATTTATGAAGCTGATATTAAATCCGACATAAAGCTTGAACATCTAAGAGCTATCATAACTAACAGTGAATCAGTAATAAAGCCCCTAACGCATTACAAGCACATCAAGCACACTTCAGTGACACAGAACAAGAGCATTTGGTAACTAGGAGGAAAGCTGTTTCTGCAATGATATAATTTATAATTCATTCCACTTTGAAGGTGAAATGCTTTAGCTGCTTAGAAAACAATGTTCTGCACTGTACTTCAAAGCCCATTAATCCAGTATCAATTATGGGCTGTGAATAGCAACCCAAGAACAGAACTAAAACAAAACATTAATTTTTCCTAATCTCTACATTTAACAGGTCAAGGTTATAAACAACTATTTCTGAACAATGGAAAAAAGCATATAGGGGTCTATGGAGTACTTCTGGGGTAAAATGTTTCCACCCAAAATAAATGCCACAGCAAATTCTAAGGCACACTCAAGTCTTCAGTTAAAACTAAGTATGTCATCCCACAGAAGTGTGAAGCGTTTTTTCGTACACATAATCCAGGTGGCACCAGAGCACACTAAGTAAAACTAACTGTGGGAAAAGCCATTATTGTCACAATCAGTTGATGTAAAAATATCTTAAGGATATTATTTCATGAGAGTAGTGAACAAAAAGAAAAGCTAAGCATTGAACTTACGGGGTATAAGCCACCAGAAAGTGCCTTTCCAAGAAGAACTATATCAGGTCTGACATCTTCATGATCAGCAGCCAGCCATCTACCAGTTCTGGCCAATCCTGTCTGTATTTCATCAGCAATAAACAGAACCTATTGGAAAACAGTATAACTATATTAATGGTCAATTCTGATGCTATAGGGAAAACAGTGATCTTTACTTTTCCCCACACGAACCCACTGTTCTAACATCCCTCAGATCTGTGAAACTATTTTAGTTACTCACACAACTTCAGTAGCATCCTACAGAAACCTTGCACACACGCCAGTCATCTCCCGTGTCAGTCACTCTCTCCCCAAAAGGCCCCTTCTGAACTGTCCCACAGAATGGAAAGGCACTTAGGCAAAGTGAGGGCTTTGTGGGGTTCTTTCAGATCTAATTACTGTCTGCAAACAAATTAATTCACTTGTATATTCCACAAATATTAATTAAATATTTGCTTCTTATTAAGTAATTTATTAGCTTGGTAGGAAGAGGAAGAGAACACCTAAATGTTGGAGTAGAGAGATACAACCAATGGTTTGGGAAGTATCACAGTCCAAGCTGCTGGAGCAGAGGGCAAGGAACCCGGTCAGGGCCAGGGAGCCTGAAGCTCCAGCAGGGCCCAGGGTCTGGCCAGTTTCCAGAGCCAGTAAAAAATCAGCTTCTGCGCAGGCTGCTGGGAGAGCAAGAAAAGCTCTGATGTCTTGGAATGATGGCTCCCTCTAGTGGAAAACTGACGTAATCTTGGCATTACACCCTATGAGTGGACCCCTAAGCAACGCAAACAGGCGGCAAGGGGGGCGACCTGGTGCCGGGTACAGAGCTCTCGCACACCCATCAGGTAGCCTGGATCAGGAACAACAACACCTGCTTCACCCTGAATTGGCTCTACCATGAATGCAGCAACATTTGGATCCTGAAGAGCACGCTACAAAAAAAATATGAATACATTTTAATGACTTCCTTCGTAACTTATTAGAAAATATGAGATTATATACTACACATATTTTCTGTTAAGAGTAAGTATATAAAGCAAGTATTCACACTACCTTATATTCTGACTTCAAACTATAACATTTCTCACTGACAATTACCAAAATATATATAGTTAAATGTAGTATTAATAAAAACTAAATGGCCTTTTAAAAAGCCATTTTAAGTGAATCTTTATTTTATAAGTTCTTCACTCATAATTTTAAAAAGCTAGCTGAAAACTGAGTAGTTTTATCTAGTAAAATAATTCCACAAGTCTCCAAATTACTTACGCAGGATACAAACCAAAAGTGGTCAGTTGGTTGTCAGGATTAGACCATGGAACCTGATTTCCCATATTGGAAACTGACTGAAATCTTGGCCTAACTTAAGGCGGATTTTCATTACAGTCACATATCTATTTTTGACTCAGCCATAAAACTAATTTAATTCCTATTTACTAAGAGCTAAAGCACAGTGATGCTAGTGAGTACCTCAAGAGCAGGCAGGTCGTTATATGGAATGACTTCAAAACCTGGCATAAATGGTCCAAAACCATCATAACTGCTTGGGTCTGTGGAACTAGAGATAGCAGACAATGTTCTACCCCAGAAGTTTCCAGCTAGAAAGGAGAAATAAACAGTGGTTATTTCAAACAAACTCCCAAATTTTATACACTATCTCCCAAAATACCTTAGGATGTTTGGTTTTTAAAAAAACCAAGGGTTTGCTTTACAGAACCTCCATGAGCTTCCATTTGTTAAGAGCAAACCTTGTATTAAACCCCTGGTTCACAAGACCACTAAGGTCTGACCTTGCACTTACTATTTTAGGCCACTTCTCTACTCAATCTCCTAACAGTTATATATCACCCCAGAAGATAATACTTGACTCTTCTTTCAATAATCCCAAACCCTAAAAACTGAGGCATTCAATACGTATTTTTCTGGAGACGGTACATTTATGACAGTGATGAGAAAGAATATTTTTCTTAGAGAATTGGCAGTTTTACTTTTAAAAAATCCAATAATACACGCCAACTATTCGACCACATGAATTTTAAATATCATTTGGAGAAAATATCCTCAGGCGACCCAAGTATTTTCAATTTTGCCTCCTTGGTATTGTCTATGCCAAATGACAGATGCCTGCCTTTGCTCAGGAACATTTTTACCCATTAATTTACTGCTCTAATATATTTGAGGACCTACTGAATGGCAGGCCCTGTTCTAGGTGTTGGAGATAGAATGCGATGATTGGCAAGCTCCCTGCCCTCAAGGAGCTTGTAATACTAACAGGGAAGAAATTCCACAACCTAAACCAGAGCAAAGCAAATGCATGAGATAATTTCAAGCAGGTTAAATTCAAGGGAAGAAAGAAACAGTGTAGAATAATAGAGAAACTTGGTTGCGATGGGGGGTTGTGGGGGTTGTAGAATTTCCTTTTTTTTTTTTTTAATAAATATCTTCCTACCACCTCTGTAAGCATCAACTCAATTAACCACATACTGAATTATTGTATTTTGGCTTCACAGCGTCTCTAAACACTACTCTTGCCAAGCCTCTCACCTATGAGTAATCCCCACTTTACTTATCCGCAAGCAACAGCACATTGAGGTTGACCAGGCTTGCTTAAGGGGAAATGCCCCAACTAGACCGTGGGCCTACATGCTCTCTTCCAACCAGCCTCAGACCTGTCTCTCCACCCCACTGACTACCAGCTTCTCTCCATACTTGGGTAAAAACACCTTTGTACCCTTTGCTAATATGATAGAGTATAGGCACAGACTGCAAAAATGAAAATCACTAAGAAGGCCATTTTTTGTTTAGAAGACAGTTATGTTTTCCCACGACTAAGGCACAAGATCCCACAATGGCAGGTCACTTCCAGAGCTGTGCAAAGACTTCTTCAGGAATAGTAATCTGTCACCCCAAATACCAACTATGGCGTGGCCATCAGCTGAACTCTGGATTCTATTATGGAGGGTTATAATTTAACATTTAACTGCTTGGTTCACAAGGCAGAATATTTAATTTCAACTATCACAAGAATGAATGTTGATCATGTGCAGTAACAAATTTACCTGTACTTGGTTTTTAAAAATTAAAATCAAAGCTTTAAAAAAAAGTCAGAACCAAGCAATTCAACATCATTATAAAGATTCCAGAAGTTAGATTATATCATCTGAATTAACTAGTGGTCTTCTTAATTAGTATTCACGTCATTCCTCTCAACCCTCAACCATTCTTAGAAATATATCTAGGGCAACTCCAGCCCTCTTCCAACAGCTTCTAAGAACAAGACATGACAATACATCAAATAGTAAGACTCAAACTTCACATCATACTAGGACATGACCCCACTTGTTAATGTTAATATGTCAACTTGAACAATCTAACAAAATCCTCTACCAAGACCATCTGACAACCAGAAAACTACTATGAAAAAAATCAGGTAAGCAGATGAGAAATAAATTACACAGTCACTCATTTTAGAGAGGAAAGAGTAGGGGGTTATTTAGCAGAGAAAAATCGCATATACAAAGAAATAGTTGGAAATAAATCCAAGAAAAGGAAATCTCTCAATTTTTATGAAATATTCAGCAAATAATATATCATGTAAGAGGAAAACACATTAGAAATATTTCATCGGTAAATTAGAAAGGTAAATGATATTGCATGTTTAAGTCACAGAGGTTAATGTGAATTTCACACACCTGCAAAAATAATCTTTGCTTTGTATTTCGGAACACCCTTAACAGCATATCCCCATCTGCGAGCAAGTTTGCAAGCAGTCTCTCCAGCTTCCACTCCTATCAAGAGAGAAGTTTTCAGTTTTAAGAAAGATTTTAAATTATCGGAAAACAATTGGCTATTTAACAATAACAAAAATAAGAAACACTTTACCTGTATTCATCGGAAGGACTTTATGGTAGTTGAAAAGTTTGGCGACATACTCTTCATATTCACCGAGCACGGTGTTATAGAAGGCCCGAGATGTTAAGGTCAATTTGTCTGCTTGACTTCTCAGAGCATCTACAATCTTTGGATGACAGTGCCCTTGGTTGACAGCACTGTAAGCACTCAGGAAGTCAAAATATTTTCTGCCTTCTACGTCCCATAGGTAAATACCTAAAATATATAAGAAAAATAATTTTAGAAAAAAATCACTAAATTACATAAAACTCAAAGATTAAGAATGCTAGCAAGCCCTTTGGGTATCTGCATATGAACCTCTGTTAATAGAATTATGGTTAAGGCATGTTTTAGCTCAAGCAGAATAAACTCTGGTTTAGAATGAATTTTATTTTATCTGCCCAGCTTCAAGTTACACATTTAACAAGAACAGCATTACATGAAAAGGTTTTATAAACTCCAGAGTGAAACCTTTACTCCTAGAAAACTGGAGTTAGGAATTTAAAGGCAGAATACATAATATTATGAGAAATAATGACCAGTTGACTGTAGCAAACAGAATGGGAAAAAGTATTTTCAATCATGTATCTACATGATAAGGATCTAGTATCCAGAACTCTTACAACTCAAGAAGACACACAACCCACTTAAAAAATGGGCAGCAAACTCAGATGAACAGTTCTCCAGAGAATGACCAGCAGGCACATAAAAGGATGCCCAGATCTCAGTCAGTAGAGAAATGCCAATCGAAACCACAGTGAAGGCACTTCATACCCACTAAGATAGTTACGACTTTTTAAAAAAGGAAAACCAGTGTTTGCACGGACGTGGAAGAAATGGAGCTCAGGTACTGCTAGAAATTAGAACTCATATATTGTAAAATGGTGCTGCAGTTTGTGGAAAATGGTTTTTCAGCTCAACAAGTTAAACAACATTACCATAGGACCTAACAGTCCCACTCCTAGGTATAAATCCCACAAAGCAGAGGATGGGTATTTCAAACAAAAAACTTGTACACGAATGCTCACAACAGCACTATTCACAATAACCAAAAGGTGGAAAGAACCCAAATGTCCAACAACTGATCAGTGGATACACAAAATGTAGTCTATTCATACAATAAAATATTATTCAACCATAAAAAGCAGTGAAGTACTAACATGTTACCACATGGATGAAAACATGCTAAATGAAAGAAGCCAAACACAAAAGGTCACATACTGTCTGATTCCATTTATATGAAATATCCAGAACAGTCTAAATCCAGAGATAGAAAGCAGGTTAGTGACTGCCAGGTCCTACTGCAAGGAGGGAATGACTATTTAGTATGCACGGGCTTTCCTTTTTATGTAATAAAGTTCAGGAACCAGCTAGAGGTGATAGCTGTAAACCTTGTAAATGCACCTAATGCCACTAAACTGAATGGGTAAAATGGTAAATTTTAAATTATATACATTTTACAATTTTTTAAAAGTTGACTATAGATATTAAAATGTATTGGGGGGTTTAACGCCTTAAAGTCTTTTGTACACAAGAAAAGGCCTCGTGTTTCATAAAAGACACACACAGCTGCTTGTCTGCAACTTCCTCTCTAACAGTTCAGGGAACAAATGTGTGTGTGTGGAGACATGAAGCAAATGTGGTAACATGTTAGCACTTGGGAAATCTGGATGAAGAGTGAAAGAAAACTTTTCCTGCTACTATTGCAACTTTTCTCCCTTCAAGCCTAAAATTCTGCCAAAATAAAAGTTAAAGGAAAAAAATAACAACATTATAGAACTTTACTTATGTATCTTACATTCCCCCTCCTGGCAAGAACCATCATGACAAAAACTGAATGACTTCACCTTTGTATTCCCCATAGCATATAATACAGCAAGCACTCGGCACCCAATAGCATGTTGAATTAATTAACTGTATCTGTAATATCACAATTCAATGCATCTGGAAAAGTGGACATTGAGAAAATATAAAAGCATTTTTAAAAAAGGTGACAAAGGAAGAGGTACGGGAGGGTGTAGAATTGGATTAATTCGAAACATACCTTTTCCTCTCTCCAGGGCTACAGGCAAAGGATGGTAGTTGTGTGCACCATATTTAGATTCTCGTTCAAAAATGTAATCAGAGGATGGAGGGCCTTGGACTGTTTTTTTAGTTGCAACAGATGTAGCAGAAGCCACTGAAGAATGAATTCCACGACGAAGCACGGCAATGGTCTGCAAATGTACTAGTTTGAAAAACATCCTGTCCTCCAAGTAGGAATAGCACCCACCTGTCCATAGACAAGAGAAAGCATGGAAAGTAAGAATCTTCCCAGAGCTGATGTGTGTCATCTCATTAAATATACACTGAGCTTCTCCCACAGTCCATAGAAAATCAAAAAAATGAGCAAACCATGACGTGGCCCTAGCCTTGGGAAGTTGAGGGCCACAGAGGACAAGTATACAGATATTCATGGTAAAGCTGGACAGGCACTTACTGCAGCAGGATGTGGAGAGAACCCAGAACGGGGAAGAGTGATGGATGGACAGACAGGAGGCCAGGGGCGCTCCTGTTCACTTACTCCCTTGTACCACTTATAAACACACACTTTAAGTCATCGGTGCTCCAAGCTAAATCAAGGACCAGGAACTCGATCTGGAGGCCGTCAGCAAAGCAGACTGACAGAGGGCTCAAGAGTTGGTACCTGACCTTGTAGAATGAGCAACCACTCAAAAGGCACTTCTGCAAGGTGTCATACTATCAGACCGTCACAGGTAGGAGGGCAGAGACTGAGGCAAGTAGACCAAATCAGAGAAGCAGCCTGCCCGGGAACAGGCAGGCTGGAGGGGAAAGAGTGACTGAGAACTACCATGAGAACTGACTCTGCCCTAGTATATGAAGAGTGAAGAAATTAAAGAAGAATTTGATTTAAAAAAGATAATGGCGATCCTCCCGGAAAAAAAAAGACCAGGTATGGAAATCAAGTGATTTACTGGAGGATGGGAAGGACTTTTAAAGACAGAAACTATAAAAGGTAAAATCTGTTATTTAGCCATAAATATCTAAAACTTCCATAGGTCAAAATCATCATAAATAAAGGTGAAAGGCAAAAAAAAAAAAAAAAAAAGACTAGGAAAAAATTCTGTCTCTCAATTCGTAATAGTCTTTGAAGAGCTTTTACAGTAAGTCAAATAAAATATACATATTACACATATTATCATTTTATAAATTACATAGAACACTTATTTACATACACACACAACAGATGAGACAAAACAGGTGATTCCCAAAAGAAACTGGCTACTCTAAGATGGTTGTTTCTATAAAAATTATCCCAAAAAAACTGCATTACAAAAGCAACTGTTTAAAGGGGAAAAGGTAATAACAAAGTAGAGAACATCCAACTACAATAAGCTAAGAATTTCAGTAATAAACCCTACACATCACTAAGCAACCCAGCAGTTCCTAGCAATCTCCTTACATATTTCAGTCTTTGCTCCTCATCCCACTACCACCAGCCCTAACACCAGCGCTACTGTGTGCTTCCCATACGGCTTTGTATCCCATCATACCATTAATAGTCTGATAAACCATGAGGTAAAGAGTGGGCAATGGAAGCAGCAAAAAGAAAAAAGGAAATTAAAGAAAATGCAACAGTCATGTCTGGGTGGAGTAATGTTTTTTAAAGATAAATTCAAAATTATTGGCCAACACTAGGCATACTTAGAATGTTCATGCTTATTTTTTAAAAAGACTACTTAACTCATGTTTCAACAGAACTCCATCAATGACAAATCAAGCCTTGCATAATCTCTGAGCACTCAATTTGAGCTGCCAAATTAGCGAAACTTGATGCTTATAGCTTGGCTTGCTTCTCTTCTAACTTGGCACTACCCAGTGAATCCTGTATGTTCAGGAATTTGCAATTACTAAGCAAAATCCAGCAGTTGGTTTGCCAAGACTCACCACCCACCCTTTCTCCACACGGTTCAGATTAGAATGCAGATTTTTAACTTGAAATCCAGGAACTTCTTCAGAGAGCCCAGCAACTCCTGAAATAAAATGCAGAATTGTACGTGTAAGTGCATTTTCCTACAGAGAAGGTCCCTAACTTTCACAAGACTTTCTCTCAAAGAGGTGTGTATCAACAACAAAAAAATATTAGAAATATTAGACTAGGGATAACTGCTAACAAAAAGGCAAAAATGTCTAGCTATACTAGACAGAACTTCCCCCAAAATTCTACTGCTAAGCCTAAAACATTGATTTTATTTCCTGGGCTCTTTATGCTCTGCTCAGTAAGAATGAAGGCTCTATTTGACCAACTAAAAAAATTAACACATTAATTGTTGCCTTGATCAAATTAGCAATAAAAAAGTGCTCCTTAGTGGTACCCCAACTGAAACATTTTCTGAAGAGTTGTAGCCATAATAAAATCCTTAGACATGTTTGTCCTCTCACACCAGTAGTTTCACTCATAAAAACTATCATAAAGAAATACTCAGGAATATGCACAAAAGATGTTCAACAATACGAGAACAGTTTAACATATCACAGACATACAACATGTTGCCATTTAAAATAATTAGTTTTTAGACTTGTAGTTGCCAGAGGGGAGACAGATGGGTGAAAAAGGTGAAGGGGATAAAAAAAAAGTGAGGATATTTGATCTCTTTCTCTGGGTGATGGTTACATGAGTGTATACACGCATCAAAATTCATCAAGCTGTACACTAAGATTTACTATGTACCTCAATATAAAAATATAAATTAACAAAAAATAAAAATAATTAGTTTTTAATGACACAGAGAGATGTTTTAGGGTATGTTTAAGTGAAGACAATAAGATCATATATACTAAATATTCAACTCTGCAAAAAATGTAAGGACAAATTACAGGGCAAGACACAAAAAGTTCACTATGGTTACCTTCCTACAATTCTGTTCCTTCCACATTTTCTAACAATCGTGAAATATATTTATAATCAGATTATTAAAAATGAATCAGTGTCTGCCTGATTAGGCAAAGAAAAAGCTTAGGCGACACAAAAATAAAACTAATAGAAAAACAAAACGTTTCAGAGGCTTGGAGAAAATGGATTGTGGTTAAAAGACAGAAGTCACTATCCCCTACGAAGCACAGCCTGGAGCACAACAATTAAGTATAAAAGTTCATCTACTTCTAGGGAACAAGGTCCGATTCTAAAGTAAGAATTATCGTCCATGATAATTTTGCCATCACGGTCTGCAGCTCTGTGACTTCACAAGAACCTACCAAAGAAGCACCAAAAAAAAGAGAGAGAGAGGTATTAAAAAATATTTAAAATTCTGTGACAATCATCTTTTAAGTTAATTAACTGATAGAATAATGCAATATTATTAGTGCAAGTGAAAGGAATTTTTGAAATTATCTAAATTCAACATTCTCATTTTGCACAAGAAGTTATTTTCTCTGTAAATTCGCAACACAAGTGGGAAAAAATACCCATTTATCTACAGTGTTCAGGCAGTCTTATTGAGGAATACAACTTAATGACAAACAGTAATATCCAAAACATTCCTAATACTGATCAAGCTTTTTAAAGATGAACTCTGGATACTTAATTCAACTAGGAAGTCCTACAGTTGGATACAGATGATGTACCAGAATCCTGTAAGCACATTTCTATTAAAGAACTTTCTGTGTTCAAGTTACTGTGCTTGGCACCACACAAGACATACTAGAACAGAATTAAGATGGGCTTAAATATAGCCAGTATCGACAACATGCTCTGCCAAAAAGGAGTGCCAGGAAGATACAATGGGAAGTCCAGAGTCTGGAGACCAGGATTTAAATTCTAGCGGGGCTCTGAAGAATATCTTTGGATGATTTTGTCAATCTTTTTGACTTTCAATTTTCCTATTTGTAAAATTAAGGTTGAAGCCATTCAAGGTCACTAGAGGATTAAATGATATCATATTAAAAGTGTCAAACTGAACACAAATGGCCACTGTTAGTTCCCTTCCTCCTCTAAACACATAAGGGAATTAGCCCATTTCTGCACTGGAAGAATCAACAGGACCACGGTTTCTTCTTGAAACTGGAAGCTTTTTCCTTTAAAAAGAAATAAAATGTTTCTAGTGATAAAAAAAAAACATCAGAAACATGGACAAGAAAATTTACTGCAATTCCACGCATTTGGAAATAAGGAATACTATATGCATTCACCTTTTTTCTATACTACCCCATGAAATTTACTACTGAAGGCCCTCCTAAAGACTCCCAGGAATCTTGCAGACTTTTGTCACAGGTCCTAACACCTCAGGACACTTGTCTTCATGCCTTTCCCCCACTAGAATCCTATGAGGCTCCATAAAAGGACAGCACCCAAGTCTTTAAATTCACTTTGTATCCCCGGAACCTAGCCAGGTCTAGCATAACACTGACATTCTTTGTCAAATGAACAAGGTCATTCCTAAATATACTTATATGGACTCCTGAAGGAGTCAAGCGAGTTGACCCAGATGAATTGAGTCCATCTCTGAGAGGAGACTAGCATTCTCTAACATGTCACGAGGGGTAACTAACCTTTCCAGCAAGAGTTCACTTCATTAGACTTAATGGATTTCTACAGTCAAAATACCATGTACCAGTGCGGCCATTCCAGGTGGTTGTCATAAATTTAACCAAAGCCCACACTCAGGTCCTGGGGAAAACAACTAATTGCTATTGACAGCAAAAAACTTAACAACAGAATGCTTTCAGTAATCCACTTAACAAAGTCCTTCTTCCAACTATTATTACTCCCTCCTATCTAATCTATCCTATCTAGAACATATCTAAAATAGAATTTCCCTAAAAGGCTGCATTTTGAAGAGTTATTAACCCAGCGTACCCTATGAAATATTATTTTTTTAATCACACTAGAAGAAAAACCAGTGCAATTTCATCAGAAAGCCACTTAAAATGCCCACCTGTGAAGTAAATTTGGTTTTACTATATTTACCAAATACTTATCTTGAGGTAATCATTCAAAACTAATGTTTTCTTTAAATTTTTTTTAAGTTCTGCCAACAAACTTTGTCGGGGGGGGGGGGTTGTTTACATGACCAGGTTAAAATTCAACTCAAGTGCGTCACTGGCAAACACCTTAATCACTACTATTGAAAAAGGACTGGCTCAGTCAGACCACACCCTCCACACACCTCCAAAATTTAGTCCATTCATCACAATTCTAAAATGTATGCGATTTAGCCCATCCTCAAGAACTCACGAAGGGGCATAAAATATGCCCCCAAGTAACTGTAACAAAGGCAGGGTATGGGGGCATTACAAGTAAGATGGCATCTTGAAGGAAAAAAACTCCTTTCCAAGAATGGTTACTATTTAAAGTCATACTGGGCTTTTTGGGGAGGAGATGCAAAATTAATCTTCTACACCATGAAAAACTGTAAACCCAAAACACCGTTTTATTTAAATCTTGTTTTTATTAAAAGATCCTTTCATACTTGGATCTTTTTCATAGTCGGAAACTAAATTCTGTGAAGAGGAAACAACGGTATTCTAAAGAAGTCTGTTGTTTATTTCAAATGGGGAAGACAAAAAAAAAATTGGGTTACATACCTAAAGAACAGTTCCAGGTTCAAATTAGAGCGCTGGTTCTCCCACAGAAACTCTTAAGCTTACACACCCGAAAAAAAGAGAACTGGGAAACTGGGGATAGTAATTTCTTGAAAAGCCACCTCATTTCAAAATCACTCCTTCCTTTTGATTAACTAATCAAAGAGGTAAAATCGAACACAAAGAAAGCCAGAGATACAGTGACAAAGGGAGGAGACCGTCGGTCACCAAGGACAAGCGTCCCGCTGAATTCAACCAGAATTTACTGATGCTCAGCCCTGGTGGCAAAGCAACTGCGGAGGGAGTCTTCGTGCCGAAAGCCCTGCTGGCCCCAATCTCTCGGCACTATTAGAGAACGTGCACGTTACTCTAAAGGCTCTGCTTCGGTAATTCTTTAATTGTACAAAGGCTGGAGGAAAATAGAGGCTGGCGAAGAGATGGACAGGTTGGCTGCAAGGCCCAGACGCTGCCCGGGAGGACTCAGGTCCCTTCCAGTGGTCTCCGTCGGCGCCCCCGCCCCAGAAGGCAAGCCACCGTTTACAGAGCAGTTCCCGTATCCAGGATCACCATCCGCCGCCGACCTCAGGGGCCCAGGAGGCGCAAACGCCGCCTTCCCGGAAATGCGGGGCGCCAGGGGCCCGCGGCAGCCTCGGGGGCTGCGGGACCCAGGGCCGGCCCGGCCGCGCCCGCCCCTGCTGAAGGCGCCACATCCTCAGCTCTCTGGGTTGGAGCCTCCCTCGCATGCCCGCATGCCCGCCTGCCCGCCGTTTCCGGCGGGATGCGCCGCGCCCCTACCCGGGCCCAGGCTGCGCCCCTACCGGCCCGCGCCTCCCCGGCCCCCGCGCCTGCCGTCCGCGAGTTCGCCGCCCCGGTGCCCACCGCCCCACGGTGCTCGCCGCCGGCTGGTAGGCCGCATGAACCGGCCGCGGAGGCGGAGCCCGCCAGCCAGGCAAGGCCCAGCGCGCCCCCTCAGCCCGCTCCCCTGAGCCCCGGATCGTGGCCGGCCGCCATCAGGGGATCCCTACCCGGCCCCGGCCCGCCGCACCCGGGGAGTACCTGGCGGCGCTTCGCAAACCCGCTAGATACCCACGGCGCCCACTGCGCGGCTGCGGCAACGGCGACGCGTCACAGAGCTTAAGACGCGCCTGCAGCCCCTCCCCGGGAAGCCCTCGCCGCCCATTGGCTGGCGGCGGAGGGCTGGGCACCAATCGCCGCGGGCCCGCCCCAGGGTGCAGCCGGGACCTGGACCGCGGGATCCCATCTCGTTCTGAGCGCTACGGGCGGAGCTGCTCTGGGCGGCTCCTGGGTCCTTGGTTCCGCGGTTGCTCGGTGCCCGCCCCGTGCTGACTGCAAGACAGGACCCCAAGGGACGAAACGTCACCTGGGCCTCCTCGGGCTTCCGGCGTTTCCCGGGTCCCTGCCCTTAGGGCTGCACGGTGGGCTCGACCTGCACCCCGGCACCCCCTAGCCTCGCTCCAGACCCGCAGAGCCTTCTGTGTGGCGGCCACAGCAGCTCCGCCCCGACTCAGCGCGGGCCCCATGCCCGTGAGCCCTGGAGCTGCGGCGCTTCTGAGCCCACCAGTACCAGTTACCTCTGCATCTGTAAAACACTGCCCACCTTCGTGGCTGCTGCTAGATAATTAAATTACCATAACATACTCGGTGTAAGATTGCAGCACCCTCCACAACTATTACAAAACTCAGAACTCAAAATGGACAGTCTAGGATGATGTCAAGTTAGAACTGGATGGACCTGCACATCAATTAGGCAACGCCATTTCTGGTAAATATTGGAAAACAGACTGGGAGAAGGGAAGCAATTTATGCCTGGTTATCATCCACAGGTGAGAGGCTGCCCAGCCCCAGCAGATTGCTGCAGGGACAAAGGACTGTATATCCACACCATGTTCTGTTACACCACCTTGATCAGTCAGGGGCCCAGCAGGAAACAGATGGCACACTCCAAATGGAAATGTAAGGAGAGTTTGCTAAAGGAATTCAAGTGTGGACAGGCAGACGACAGGGAGTGGAGTAACCTGCGGCCAGTGCACCAGGGAAGGCCGTTGTCAACCTAGGCCTAAAGTAGAGGTTCCCAGACCCAAAGAGAGTAACAGAGGTTAGGCCACCTGCCTGAGCTGGTCATCAGTGACCCCAGGAGGAGGGAGCTGGGGTGATAAGCATCCCCACCTCTCATCTCCTGCCAGGGTTGTCTGTAGGCTGAACCCATTAAGGAGCCATAGACCCAGGGAGCCCTTTAAGGCAGTGTCTGCAGGTCAGCCTCCTGAGACACAAAAGGGTGGTGGGGGGTGGAAGAGTAGATGGGGCAGGAGGGCAAATGGAAAATATTCAACACACATAACAAAGATGAGCCTTAGCTGAGTAGAAAGTAAAGTCAAAGCTATATGGTGAGGGCTGGAAAATGGTGTGGGCACAGAGCTGTAAGCAGAGCCTGTGTCTGCAGATGTCTAGAACAAGACACAGAAGGGATTCAGTCCTCCTTTGCTCCATCTGCACTAAACCAAGGTCGCTTGCTCAGACTGGTACAGCCATGCCCTCTGTGGACCTCACTAAGGGCAAGACTTTTTGTTTCTTTGATGTCCCTCCATCAGTGCAAATACAGTGTGATTAATTATTTGGAAGCAAGGTTTTTCTGCCCAAGAGGTCAGAGAGGAATCGTTCCTCACACTCCTGCTCTAAAAACCTGGGCAGGTGTGTGCAGGCCAGCCCAGCTCTTGGAACTCTCGTAGAGCCCAGGAATCCCCAGTTATGCCTTGGCACATAGGAACAGGTGCAGGTGTTCCTGGGTTCATGAGGGGAAAAGCATGACATCCAAGATCTCAGTGTAACATCAAAAATGTTGCAATACTTCGGGACTCACAGATAAGATACTCTTTAACAAAAACTTTTCAGGCAAGAAACTGCTGAGAATGTCTGTCTCTCTTATCAGAAAAAAAAATGCAATAGGTACAGAGAGTCTGATAATATTTTATGGTCTCTCTACTAGCAGTTGTTTTTTAGCATAACGTGGCCTTGGAGACCTTGACTTGAAAGCAGCTCATGTTCAACCGAGAAACAGAGCTGCTCTATTTGTGTGCTTTTTTATTTGTTCAGTCTAGAAACATATGGACAAGAGGGTATTTTACAAAGATTTTTGAGCCTCTAAAACTACTCACAGATTCAATAATTAACTACACAGGAGCCATAAACCTGTAAGATATAAAGACTGCCCCCTAGCACATATCCAACACCTAAATTTATTTTATTTCTTACCTCAACAAATATCCCTTGAGTGCCTACATGCTTCACACTGCAAGGGGTTTCACATCAGGCAAGAGCCTTCAGGTCTCCTTATAAAGGAAAGGATTCTTCATTTTCTCATACAAGCAACTCTCCATTATTTAGTGACCAGAAAAACAAGTTGTGGATTATGTGTGTGTCTTGCTTTTCATTACTTCCTTCATTGTCCAACTTGTCATTTCTTGTTACTAACCTAGCCTATATATACACTTGGGCTTGAAATGATTAAGAAGGAAAATTCCAAGCTGACAGCCAAGGAGAAAGTCTGGTAAAGATACTCAGAAAATGTAAGTGTTTGGGGGTTTTTACCCCACTGCAGAGATTTTTCTTTTGCCCAGGCCTACTTACCCTAAGATCTCTTCCAACAAAAGACTCAGCAACAGACTTAACAGTCCCTCATGCTGCTGCTACTGTACTGCTGTGGCAAGCATTTGTATCTAGAGGAGAGTAAACTTCAAATCCAGAATGGCAGAGATACGGCAAGAACAAGCTCAGCAAAATAGTGGCAAGAACTGGGGAGGGAGATCTGGTAAAAATTCTAAACTCGAGTCTGAACTGGGGATGATCAGCAGAGATTCAGAAGTTTTTCAGGTTCTGATATGAGAATATGCCTGTCAGGAGTACTGAATTTTCCTCCCTTGTAGCTGAACTACACCCAAAACCCCAGCTGCAGCTCCTGTCTCCCCAAGTGACACCCACCCTCACTACCGAGGCCGCAGAGGTCCCCCTACTAAGCACTGCCCCTCCACTTCTTAGAGTCCTTGTTTAACCTACTATGTATCTCTAGCTCTATCTATGTCTTATCTTCCCAACCAGACTTCTTGAAGGTAGAGCCTGTCTTGCAGGATTTTTACACCCTCCCAGAACCTATGTCCATGTTGCTTTTAGTAGGAATTGTTTCTGAACATGTCACTGCTCCTCTTTATTCGCAGGGGCAGGAATTAGCAGCAGAGCAAGTGGCCGTTATGGGAGTGTGACCCAGAAGCCCAAGAGGCCCAAAGCCCTTCCCATTCCTAGAATAATAATAGCTGTTCAGATGAAGGAAGGAGGCACTTCAAACCATTATTGTCCACTAACACCATGTTACTTCTCGAGGTGTACTGAAGGAAGGACAGCGGGTGTGAAAAGTTTATAAAACTGTGCTAGAGAGAAGGGCATGAACCAATTCTTTAGTGGGGGTCTGCTTGCTGGATCTCATGATGGCAGACTGGGTCCAGAAGGGGAGACTCTGAGAGGGTCTTGGGGGTTGGTGACTATACATGGACAGCCTATGAGTAGGCAGAGGGAACAGAAAATACCAGAAGAGGGATTGTTACAGAGTCCAAGCTAATGCCGCTTGCCACATGACATGCCAATAAGTTCAGAGATAAAGTGTTGGGACAAGGAAAGCAACTTTATTCAGAAAGCCAGCAGACTGAGAAGATGGCGGATAAATTCCTAGAGCCTCATCTTAACTCAGGGCTGAATGCAAGCTTCTTTTGTGCTAAAGAAAGGAAGAGCACAAGTGGAAGCAGGTGAGGGGGTGACTGGAGGCTGCAGACATCTGGGTGCTAGTGAGCATGTGAGGAGAGCTGAGAAACTCTGTGTTCTTGGTTAGCTGACTGACCTACCTACGTGTGGTCACTGTGTTCCTAAAACTCTTTGACAAGGCGCTTATTATTTTCATACATATTTCCCTGTCTCCTAGAGGAGACAAGCTTCGGGTAAGGAGCTATTTGCAGAAATCTCAAGCTGTCAGAAAAATTCTTTTTGATGATTAACAAGCCTATGTGCAGGGCTGTAGAGCAGAGCAGAAGCCCTTTTCCTTTTGGCCCAAAGGTTAAGGCAGCAAAGGAGATAAATACAGTATGGAGGCAGAGAAGCCACTTTTTCACTCTGTTATATGATGGAGGCGAACCAGGCCAATTGAGCTCACCAAGCTAGAAGTGAAGGCTATTTAAATCAATAGCAAATGTTTAGATAAGACTCACCTCACAGAGCTGAAAAGTCAGCCATTTGCAATATTGAAATATAATAAAAATGCTATTTTGAACATATGAGAATTAGAGATATAAGCACATAATAGATTTCAGGGCCAAAGAATTTTACAGACCTAATCTAATACTTTTAAAGACAGAGACATTCAAGATTCAAAGGTAGAGGGCCCTGCCAGTGTTACAAAATAACACCAAGATGCCAAGCATTCCACCCCATCAGATTCCATGCTTGAGACACATAAGAATTTCAACTCAGAAAAGAAAAGATTAAAGTAAAATTTTTTGACAAAAATGTAAGTACTAAGTTAGCTGCAGCATTTATTTGGAAAATATTTATCTTGCTCATTAATAAAAAATAAAATAAGAGAAACCTCAAGTACGAGTTAAATATTTACATCCTTATCTATCAGGTCTACTAACAAGCTCACAATCATTTTGCAATGATTTTTTTTTAATTTCCATGAAAGCTCTGAGTGCCAAAACTTAGATAACTTTAATTATTTTTCTTTGGAGAACTTTAATAATTCTGACTCTTTAGTTGGACTACAGTAAA